CCGATTCCATGCAATTCTGGAATTAAATTCTTGGATAATATGTTTATATATGAATAAAATGACAGAATATTACAGAATATTACAGAATATTACAGAATATTATTCCCTGAATTGGGTGAGTGAGTGAGTGAGTGTGTGTGTGTGTGAGAGAGAGAGAGAGAGAGAGAGAGAGAGCAAGTTGACTATAACCAGTAAACATTTTTATTATATTTATCAGAAAACATATATAGATTACATGAAGTTTACATGAATTCTGTAGTCATTGCCGATCAGAGTTGGAGTGCAATTGGGATTTGATTTGTGTTGACATAACTCTCGCGTCAAACAAAGAGAAACACAGAAAAAATAAATATATCTCTAAAAATACAGGTATTATATTATACAGAGAGACACTTCATAATAACACTTATGTTACCAACACTTCGACACATAGGGTATGAAAAAACATTAGCAACAAAAAAGATACATTTCCAATATTCATCACCTAATACCATACCATACCATACCGTATACTCTGTAATACTGAATGCTTTTTAGTATACATTGTGTCTAAATGTTGTGAATATTCTGTTTACGCGACACATTGTCACCACAGATACGACACCATGAATGACAAGAAATGCGTAAAACTTGATCTCTATATCGATGACGAAGAAGTACTCCATCAGAGCAACGATGAAAGTGCCGACGAAGTGCTGTGTCTGCGGATACTGAGCTCACAAACAAAGTACAGATTCGGTGGACTCAAAGTGCATATCGAGAGTCCCGTCTTCAACATCGGGAAGATATTTAACGTCGAGTTCGACGAGGACTCGGAGGTGGCGCTCATTAAGAGCCAAAAGGAGGCCCTCCACGGCCCCGGCGACCCCCCCACCGAACACAACACCCCCACCACATCCAAAGCGGCCACAATTGTCATCAGTCCCGACCGGGAGGAACTGGCGCTCACCAAATGCCCGACAGTGTCGGCCGACCTCACGCTCGTCGAGGCGACCGACACTCCGGCCGACCTGAACGGCAAAGACGGCGACACTCCGTCGGTGGACGAGAGTGGGGCCGGCGGTCGACGGATGTCCTCTCAGATGAAGAAATTCATGTCAAAGAAACTGCAGTCGAGTTGGAATAACGCGGTTCGTGTCAAACGATTCTTCTCCGATTCCATGCAATTCTGGAATTAAATTCTTGGATAATATGACAGAATATTACAGAATATTACAGAATATTACAGAATATTACAGAATATTACAGAATATTATTCCCTGAATTGGATGATGAAAGCACTGATGAATACAAATATGTTTTCTAATTAACACTCAAATAAATAGAGCGCAGATTCGGTGTAAACATTGGACACAAATTGTTGTTGTGATCACACCGTGCGATAGGAGGGGAATGCCGTACGGGTTATATGGGACTCAACACAACTAACACAAAGTCATCCCTTTATATCGATATTGAATTTTATGGAAACAAAAGACTGATTACTTTGGATAACAGAGAAAATAATAGTTATTCTGTATTATTATCATTATTATTATTACTGCTATTATAATCATTGCTATTAAACATAAAACATTGCTGTATATTGAATTGTCATTAAAATGAGATTATTGAAAATAAATCATAAACTCTTTCCCGGAATTTAAACGAAAAATTTAGTAAATAAGCCGTAAATGAATTGTAAAAAGCAATTAACATAAAGGCAATGATTTTGCATAGAAATCGTGTGGAAAACAATGCTAACTAAATATTTAATTACCAGAGCGTAACCATTACACAATATTTTAATGATTATAGATATGGTTGTTATAAACATCACACAAATTAATTCCTGTGTTAAATTTAAAATTTATTTTCCCAATGGTTTTAAACAAAATCCTTGCAAACAACATGTAGTCTAGCACTACATGAATTTAAAACATGCCAACAATTTGGATATTACATAACAGTTCAGGTAAGCTATGAATTAAAAACATGTATGTTTTTTGATAGTACAGTATTTGTCTCTTAACAATGCGAAATAAACTTTTAAAACATTTTGTGAACTGTTATCCTAACGTAACCAACATATAGTTGACATGAAGTGTGTAAACACGACACAACTGTTCACAATTCATACCCCTATTTGAATGGAGTTATCGATCGATAAGATCTATTGATAAGAAATATTTGGTTTGGTTTCGTCCAAAATAGCAAT